GTGGAGGAGGCAGTGAGCGCAGCCACGGAGGCCGGAGCGGCGCGGGAGGGAGCTCAACGGCAGCAGTGGACGACGCTCGAGGAGCTCGGAGAGGCCTGGCCGGGCGCGAGCAGCGTGCACGCAGGCATGGGCGCCTCTCGGAGAAGAAAACGGAGCAACGCCGCAGTCGACGGCACGGACGTGCTGCTCCATGCGGCCGTCCCGGGGGCGTGTTGGTGTCGAACCCTCGAGTGCTACCGGAGAGACGACGGCGATGCCACGCCAGTGAAGACGAAGATGGCGAGGCCAACAGCGAGGACGTGCCGCCCCTTGCGGCCACACCGGGGGTGTGTCGATGTCGAGCCCTCGACCGCTAACAGAGAGACGGCGCGACGCCGCGGCGGTGGAGACGAAGATGAGGCCGACGGCGAGGGCGCGCCGTCCCGCACGGCCGCTCCGGGGGCGGGTCGAAGTCGAGCCCCCGAGCGCTACCGGAGAGACGGCGCGACGCTGCGGCGGGGAAGGCGAAGATGGTCCCGCCCGGACAGCGAAACCAGCAGCAGCGTGGTAGCATAATAGTAGTACCGCCCCACGGTGGGCGCCAACTGTCGTGGTATTTCTCACGGGGGGCTTGCGAGTCGACAGATGCCACAAGGTCTTAGTGTGTGGGTAAGACTGCTGCTGATAGGACCGGGAGCGGGTATGCGAGTAGCACGCGGTGGTTTACCCAGCTTCAGAGCTCTTCAGAGAGATAATACTCCTACTGCTGCATGTCTGAGTGTATCTGATATATCTAGTACAGAGTGCTCCTAGAGCTGTATTTGAGATCAGTACCACAGGTATCTGACTTGGTGTATGCCTGTATGAGGCATGCTCTAGTGGCCGGCTATGCCCATGGCCTATGGCCGAATGGATGTGTGTGAGCTCATGCGTGAGTCTCCTCTGTGGATGGATGGATGGATAGCTAACTAGCTTGCTAGCTATTTGCTCATGTGTATGTGAGGCCTTGTGGCCAAATGAATGTGGCCGTGGGAGTCCATCCCCTGGATGGATGGATGTGTGCCCCTTTTATAGTGTGGGCTAGCTTACTATGTAAGCTATGTGGGTAGGCATGGGTAAGGTATGGTGCATGTCATGCTTGTCTTCTGGGTCACTTCATAAATAGTGTCAGGGGACAAATGACACTGTACATGATGTCGTCGTGGTACGGTTGTCTTGTCCGCGGTATGGCCGTCTTGTCGGTGTCTTGTCGATGTCGGGTCGGGCTGCAGTCGGCAGTCGGCTGGTTGGCGCAGTCGGCAGCCGGCTGGTTGGCGCAGTCGGCAGCCGGCAGTCATCAGCCGGACGGGCAGAGCAGTCGGACGGGGAGCCGACAGGAGCGGTCGGGCAGTCGGACAGAGGGGCTTTGCTAGCCCTGATGTCTTGAAATATCGTCTTGCCGTCCTCGGGATACCCGTGGTCGATTACTCCGACAAATAGCAACAAACTAAACGATCATCGTGCTAAGATAACGGATGGGTTAAGTCAATCACATCATTCTCTAATGATGTGATCCCGTTAATCAAATGACAACTCATGTCTATGGTTAGGAAACATAACCATCATTGATTCAACGAGCTAGTCAAGTAGAGGCAAACTAGTGACACTCTGTTTGTCTATGTATTCACACATGTACTAAGTTTCCGGTTAATACAATTCTAGCATGAATAATAAACATTTATCATGATATAAGGAAATATAAATAACAACTTTATTATTGCCTCTATGGCATATTTCCTTCAAGAAGTGTTAGCTTTGGGTACAATCTTGTGCTGTCCTTTCCCAGTGACAGCAGGGGCAACAAGGCACGTATTGTATTGTTGCCATCGAGGATAAAAAGATGGGGTTTATATCATATTGCTTGAGTTTATTCCTCTACATCATGGCATCTTGCCTAATGCGTTACTCTGGTCTTATGAACTTAATACTCTAGATGCATGCTGGATAGCGGTCGATGTGTGGAGTAATAGTAGTAGATGCGGAATCGTTTCGGTCTACTTGTCATGGACGTGATGCCTATATACATGATCATGCCTAGATATTCTCATAACTATGTGCTTTTCTATCAATTGCTCGACAGTAATCTGTTCACCCACCGTAGAATTTACTATCTTGAGAGAAGCCACTAGTGAAACCTATGGCCCCCGGGTCTATCTTCCATCATATTATTTTCCTATCTACTTGCTATTTCTGCCACCTTTTGTTTTGCAATCTTTATTTTCCAATCTATACAACAAAAATACCAAAAATATTTATCTTATTATCTTTATCAGGTCTCACTTTTGCAAGTGGCCATGAAGGGATTGACAACCCCTTTATCGCGTTGGTTGCAAGGTTCTTATTTGTTTGTGCAGGTACGAGGGACTTGCGTGTAGTCTCTTACTGGATTGATTCCTTGGTTCTCAAAGACTGGGGGAAATACTTACGCTACTTTGCTGCATCACTCTTTCCTCTTCAAGGGAAAACCAACGCATGCTCAAGAGGTAGCACGTGACCAGAGATGAGGCGTTTTTTTGTACAGAGAGCTCTTGTTCATATAGCCGTATATGTTTAGACGAAAAATTGCTTCTCTGTTCCCTTAAGACACTCTTCTTTGAGGACAACAGTTGAAAGGGCTTTTGCCACATACAAAAACCGTTGGAAGTTTGTCTACAATAAGCCATTCCATGGTTACAAGACCCAAGTAAAAGTAGTACCAACTTGTGCAATTCTTCATAATTGGGTACTTCAATATGGTGAGGATGAGTATTTCCCACCTGAGAAAACATGGGTTCTGAAACCCAACGATGAAGATCACAATGATATTGTCCATGACAATATTTCTTGGGCTCATAAGAGAGATGAATTTGCAAATCAGATGTGGGCGAATAGAGGGCTAGCAAACATTTGATGTATCATGTGTCTTAGAGTTGTAAAACAATTGATGTGTTCCTTGGTGTTGTAAAACTATTGTTGTCCTATTATATTTATGTGCTGAAACATAATTTGAGCTACTAAAATATGCTTTTTATGTGCTGAAATGTGTGTTTGTGTGTTGGAATTCATTTTTATGAGCTGAAACATGATTTTGAGCTGCTGAAATATGATTTTTATGTGCTGCATTATGCTTATGTATGTGCTGAAATATGTTATTAACTTTTGGATTGTTTATGTTGTAGATGGATGATGAGGTGCAGGAGGTTCCAAGTGTTGGTGCTCTTCCCAAGAAGGCCCCAAGGTCATGAATTGGACTCTGCCTATGTCGGCGTTGATGTTGAAAGGCCTTTCTGAGGTGGCGATAAGAGGTGCCAAGACTGACAAAGGATTCAAAGAGGTTGAAAAATTGAAAGTTGCAAAGCGTATATCTTCTTTCGTTGGTTATGACGTGTCTATTACCCAAGTGCACAATCATATTCTCAAGTGGAGGAATAGGTGGACAAGGCTTGTCTATTTGAAGGGTTCAAGTAGGGCACTTTGGGATGATGACAAGAAGATGGTAGTGCTAGAAGAACAATCCTATTTGGGCCACACTCAGGTATGCATGTACATGTACCAGCCCTTTTTGAATGCTGAAATGAATTATCTTAGTGCTCAAACGGTGTTAAAATGATATGGTTTTGCCGAAAATGATAATGTTTCCTAGCTGAAATGATGTCTCAATTAATTATTTTTGTTCAAATGGTGCTGCGGGATCATCCAACAGATGCTGAATTGCTCAATTCTCCACTAGAGAAATACGACTATATGAAACTTTTCTTTGCTAATAAGCATGCCACTGGGAAGTATGCAATGGGCCCCGGTGTGCCCCTAGGAATGCCTATTGTTGTGAAAGACAAGGATAAACCGAATGTCATGGACGGGAAAGGAACAACAGATGAGGTATTGCAACTTCTTCCTAGGTCTAACGTTGTACTTCCTACTGCTAGTGCCACTCAGGACCCTTCTCCTATTTCAAATAAGAAGAGAAAGAGGGCATCTGGCTTGACTGAGGAGGACTCAATCCAGTGTAGCAACATGACTGATGTTATGCGTGAGATTGCAAGTGCTATCAACAACACTTGCCATGCTGAAACACACCCTAACTTGTACAACGCTGTCATGGACCTTCTTGTGTTTGATCAAGATGAGCACTTGGCTGTTTTAAATTATCTCACAGAACATAAGGCAAAGGCCTTAACTTTGTGAAGATGAATGATGAAGTCCGAAAAGCATCGATCAAGCGAATCTTGAAAGCCAATCCCGGTCTTCTTTGAGTTGTTGTGCTTGATGAGACTATCCCTTTTTGTAATGCCTATTATAAAGTGTACTTCAAATGAGACTATGTAATATGAATCTAGTGATGCACTGCTTCAAATTAAGGTTATCATGTGTTATGTTAATTGTTGAATATTTTATTTATATTATCATTGTTGATTATGTTGGCATGGTAACATTTTATTGCTCGAGTTGTTTCATGAATTGTCAAAATGTTGTTTCAATATTTGTCTTGGCGGCAAAAAAATAATCGTTCATGCAACATACCTCAGATACAAGCTACCAAACACAGTTTTGGTGCAACATGTCTCATCTGATGCAGCCTATCAAACACAGTCTCAGCTCAACATGTATCAGTGCATACATTGCTATCAAACAACTGCAGTTGCATGTACTGAGCATGTCTAAACTAAGCATGTGTCACATGGGAACGACTATACTAGGGTGGGAACAGCTACCAAACATACCCTTAGTGGTTGTTGAGGGTTGAGCACCACTCGCATGTTACTCTTCGCTCGTTGTCATGCCAACTCGTGTACATGTTTCACTTTCTGTACTTAATGGAAAGATACCAATCTCGTCGTATTCGTAAAAGAAAAAACACAAGCAAATAAGTAATTGGGAAGGTGCTAGGTGAAAATCGCCATACAATCAAGGAAAGCGGGCTATTTACGCTTTTGCCCTTAATAGGAAAAAAGGGTAGCCGCCACCGCACCGTCGCAGCACAGCGTCTCTCCTCCCACGCTCCGATGGCGATCTCCCACCTCGCCCGCCGCCTCCTGAGCCCCTCGACCGCCACCACCACCGCCAAGCTCTTTCCCGGCACGAGCTTCTCGAATCCCCACGCCTATGCGCGAAACCCCCTCCTCCTACTCGACCCCCACTGCCGCTTCTCCGCGAGCCCAAACACCACCCCTAACCCCGCCGCCGCCGCCGCCGCCGCCGCTCCAGAAGCCGCCCCGGCTCCAGAAACCACCCCCCTGGAGTCGATGAAGCACCAGGAGATCGAGGGCCCCACGGTGGAGCGCGACCTGTCGCCGCTCGCCGACGAGGCGCGGGCGGAGCTCGACGCCCTCCGCCGCGCCGCGCAGCGCCTCAGCGCCTCCCTCGCGATCCTCGGCGGGACGCACCTCGCTGCAGGAGCGTGGATCGCCTCCGGGGCCGCGCCCGTCGGGGTCGAGTCGGCCGCGTTGGTGCAGGGCGTGGCGGCGTTCGCGTTCCCCTTCACGGCCGCCCTGGTGCTTCGCCGTGTCATCAAGCCCGTCGCCTTCTTCCAGAAGATGGAGGCCAACGGGAGGCTGCAGGTGCTCACGCTTTGCCTTCAGGCCTCGAAGAACGTTAACCTCATGATGCTCCGGACGCGGGTGGTCGCCATCTCTTGCGCCCTCGGAGTGTCGGTCGGATCGGTAGCCACGATCTTGATGCGGTAAGCTTGTGCTAGGCTCTGCTCAGGAAGGATGGTTAGTGTCAGTATTCGAGGAATAAGACTGAAACGAGATATGAGATTAGACCTTGGAACTCTGAAAACTTGGTGCTTTTGGATGTTGAAGTGTGCTTAGTTTTGGTATCTGTATGGTATTACACGGGTACCAAAGGAATCTTTATAGTGGCCGTTCAAACTGTTGCTATTACAGTGATGTTCGTCTTCTGTTAGATGGATCAACCAGTTTCTGAATCTTATTATCTTGTATGCTGAACCAGCTCCATTTCTCAGTTGATAATTTGTTTATGAACTAGGTGATTATACCTGCATTTTAGATTCCAGTTGCCTACTGAGTTGCTCTTGTATTGCTAAACAAAGTTTTGGGATCTTCATGATATGGCAACTTGGATAAGATCATCTGACATCAAACAGTTATTTCTTTATGCTGGGGTATGTAGGTGTGAGTGTACTTGCAAGTTGCTTGTCTAGTTATGGCTTCGCAGTTCTCGCCATCTGAAAAATCATGCCTTCAGAGTTCAATTTAGACTTCAAAGCTCAGTTTTGAAAATTAACAGGTTAAGTGTGGTTTGTGAGATGTCGAGGGAGGTTTTATAAGATCTCAAGGAATTTGGGAATAAGAGTACATTGATAAAAGGTGGTGAAATTGGAGATGTTTTTGTATAATGGCATGCCCACATATATATTAAGTATACATATTTCTCAGTAACATTTGTTGTCTCTGTACTAGTAGTAGTTACTCCCTCCGTCCCATAATATAAGAGCGTTTTTGACACTAGTAGTGTCAAAAATGCTCTTATATTACTAGTGTCAAAAACGCTCTTATATTATGGGACGAAGGGAGTACATGACAATCTACATTCGTTTCTAGCAGTACCACATTTTTCTTGTTGTTTTCACTTTTGTCATATTTACTCTGTTTCCAAGGATAGTACAATTTGTTTTGCCTTCCTCGTTGACAAGTAAATTTTCAGTAAACTTAGATAGATCAGCTTGGACCATATATCTTCTTTAGGTTTAGCTTGCCTTACTGCATGCCCTTAGTGACGAGGTCGGTTGGGGAATTTTAATAATTTTGTGGGTTAGATCCAGCCACACCACAGTGAATTGATCTTTGTTGTTTATGAGGTGGTTATTAGAGATGAACTGTGAAGTTCCTGTCTTGTCCACTATGACCTGGGCAACGAAATGCAGGGCTTGACTTATTCCTAATGTTCCCTATAAGCGCTATTGTAGGTAGAACAGCTTGAATTGATTGATAAGTTGTTGATTATTCTTGCCTGTCCACAGCATGAAACTTTGCTGAAATCAATGATTAAGTGTAGGTTCTTGACCTGCAGTGGGATTTAATTTTTGCAGCTTTAGTTGTTTTTAGTATCTCCTAATAAGTACAGTTCAGAGTTGAGGCTTCCCATTCAGGTTTAGCTTTTGTGCTTCAATAATACTCCCTCCGTCCCATAATGTAAGACGTTTTTTGACACTAGTGTAGTGTCAAGAAACGTCTTACATTATGGGACAGAGGGAGTACATCACAGTCTAACCTAACGGTTATCATTTTATCAAGTAAACTGTGTATTTGTTAACACGTCTGAAGACTGTCATTTCTTTTTGGCCTTGAAGAGCTATAGTTCAAATACATGCAAAAAACACAGTATAGACTATAGATGCCTGAGCAAAGATATTGACTCAGCTACAGTTTGATAAAAAAATATTTTCACAGACCTGTTAGTACCTGACTACCTGAGAAGTTAGGATGTAAATCAGATATGTGCTCTAGTATCTAAGGAAATAGAAAAAAAAACTTGGTAAATGTATAACAAGCCATTATAAACAATATCTTTGGGAAAATAAAGCTGATGAAGCTATGGAGATACCTGGTCTTTCATGAAAGTCTATGTATACACTATGTTGCCCTCTAATTAAGTTGTAGTGTAGTTTAGGTCCAATTGGCAATGTTTTGTACAGAAGACACATCAGACATCCCCTGTTATTTATGTTCTGGGCTGCAATGTTGTTGTAATCATGTAATGACCTGTTCCTTTGGAAAGATAAATATTCACTGGCATTATTGCTACTGATATAGCCTACCCCAACTTGTTTGGGACTAAAGGCTTTGTTGCTGTTGTTGTATTATTGCTACTGATAGATAGGACTTGACAGATTCCAGAAGGCCTAGCCAAATTAGCTCTGCTCTTAGCAGTTAGACAAGCACCGCCATCGCCGCTGCTCTTTCTGTCATTATAAATAGGGATTTGGAATAAACGGAGGCTGCACATCACTCACCTTCAGCTTCCAAGCCCACATAGTTTTTGGATGTTATTATTTAATCTTTCATTCTGCCAGGGCGCTTCTGGAAACCACTGAACCAGAACCCTGAGTTATCAGCAACCCATGTCCCTTGGGACCTACTCCCTCCGTTCCATATTACTTGTCGCTGATTTAGTACAACTTGTTGCATATGGAAGCGCTGCCATTTTCTTCTTGCATTGGGATGGGGAAATTCTCATCTTACTGGTTATCATATTTTTCATGTTATCTTATCATATTCTTGACCTTGTAAGGCATGCCTTGGACACTGCTTGAATAAAATTTGGCTGACTGCATTTTACCTTAGGCCGCGCTTGGCATCGGTGTATTCAATATAGGAATGTACTCCCTATGTTCCAAAATAAATGACTTAACTTTGTACTAAAGTTAGTATAAAGTTGAATCATTTATTTTTGGACGGAGGGAGTATTTAGTTTACAGGTGTAACTTAACGGGCTAGGACCGATTTCCGGCGGGAATCGAAACGACGGACGGGGAAGTGTATTTTTTACACGGGTATTTAAAAAAGAAAAACGACAATCCAAACATGGCCTTATGTAAAGGCCAGTAAGATGCTTCTCTTATCTAAAAAAGGCAGGTTACTCCTGGCTAGATGCCAGGTGGTGGTGGCTGAGTCCACGAATTGTATTGTACTCCCTCTGTAAACTAATATAAGAGCGTTTAGATCACTACTTTAGATCACTGAAGTAGTGATCTAAACGCTCTTATATTAGTTTACAGAGGGAGTGTCTCTTTTGCCAAACCTTGCCCTGATCTGCTATATTTGCTCAAGATGTAGATGGGCCTAGTCCATGAATCCTAGCTAGATCCCACATTTAGGTTAATCATATCATGGTTACATAATGTGTTGGTTATCAGTGGTTCCGGTTCTATTCCAGCTGGTAAATCACATCATGGTAGACCTGAGACTGAATTAGCAGATCAGAGATTTCACTATAGGACTACATACGGATGTGATACATTTTGGAGTGTAGATTCACTCATTTTGTTCCGTATGTAGTTAATAGTCGGTGAGGACATCGTACATCGCTCGGCAACAACCAAAGTAGATGTTATAGATAGAGCAAAACACTCCCCTACGCCTCGCGCCTAGGGTTTTTATCCTCTCGGGCGATCTGCCGCCCCTGAGTACTTCCACCCTCCGCAAAGTCTGATCGCCGTCTCTGTCGATCGTGCAGCGCCCCAACCACGCCAGGATGGCCTCACCCTCGGACGCCAACTCTGCCACCAGTGGAGGCGCATCGGCGGCCGCAACCCCCATCCTGGAAGATTTCTTCGATCAGTTAGATCTGAACGATGAGGAGTTCAATGATGTTGAGATTGATGAGGAGGATCCAGAAATCAGGGAGAGCGTTAGGTGGCTAGCCCTAGCTAGGGTTCACACCGACAAGAATTTCTCCCAGGCAGCCTTCTACAAGGATATGAGGGCGGCCTGGAATCCGGCGCAAAGGGTCAGATTTCGCCCGGTCGGACCCAACAGATTTGTTGTCCAAGCTTCCTGCCTGGGCGACTGGGAGCGGATGATGATGCAGGGCCCTTGGCTCTTCCGCAACATGGCGGTCTTGTTGTGTTCGTATGATGGTTTCACCAAGGCAGATGATGTGATTTTCGATCATATGCCCATCTGGCTACAAGTCCACAAACTACCTGATCCCTACTGCAAACAAGGTATTGTTGAGCGAATCCTTAAAGGGGCTGGAGAAATCCTAGAGATGCGTTTGAACGGCAACACCCGTGGAGACTATATTAGGGTTAGGGTAAACCATGATATCAAGCAGCCTCTGACAAAGTTTGTTAGCGTTGTCCGTGCGCAGGAGAGACAGGTTTATTTGGTGCGGTATGAGAAGTTGGCCCGTTTTTGCAGTTTCTGTGGTCGGATTGGACATGAGCACAAGGAGTGCGGATCCGGGGTTCATGAGAAGCAAAGTCTCAAGTTTGGCGACTGGCTATACGTGGACGGCCCCAGTCGGCCGAGGCCTGAGCAAACCCCCAGCAGGGCAGATAAATATCGCCCGATGAGGAAGAATAGCAGCCCTAGTGCTTCCTTGGACCCTGGCCTCAAGGCTTTGGACCCCGATATGCTCGACACAGCAACAAGCCCGGTGAAGAACCCGGGTACAATCATGGATGTTGATAGGGATGCGAGGAAGAGATTGAATATGGATAATGTGGGAGATGATACTCTGAACAAACCAAAAAGCAAGAAGGAGGTGCTGGCCATCACGGATGGCAGCGGTCAAGATCTAGGAGAGAATGCCTCGCCAACGAGCAGCTCTTCTGGCAGCAAACGTGTCAAGCTCACCAAGGATCATGCAACAACTCAGAGATCGGCGGC